ATAACAATTAATATTTTTATTAATATCTGTTGCATAACGAATTATCAATACGTTACCTGCTGGCATAAGGTTAAGAACTAACATAGGATATGCTACATTGGTGCATCCAGTTTTAATTCCGCAAGCCTCTTCGCATTTTTTTGGATCGGAGCAAGCGACGATATCTTTAATTGTAATACACTATTTTTTTAGTATTTCTCGCTAAAGGTAATAAAAAAAACGTAAATAAATATGAAAATATGAACCTGGGAACAATATGCGAGCAGCCATTCCTGGGAGTACCAAAAGGTAAAGTGGTAGTAACTTCAGATAACCAGCAAGTATACATCCGGCTTTAGCGTGAACCATGCTTCTAGCTGACAAAGCTCTCTGGACTATGACCTGTTATATAATTAAATACGTTAATTTTTAATTTGTAACCTTTTATTGGCGAATTTGAACTTCATTCTGAACGTTTCCAAGAAATTGGATTCTAAAAAACCTCGTTAAATTTGTTACTATAACAACCTAACAATAACAGAGCACAGTCGAACCCCTGATTATTGGCCACTGACTAGAACATAAAAAAAAATAACATTGTTTGAAGTTGTATATTTCAAAAAGAAATGTTACCCCAAAATGGCCGCCATTATGGGAGGTTTGACTGTACTTTTTTTGTATAAAAGAATGGCGCGCGAATTAATTATAATGAAGTAATCACTACTTAAAAGTGCATGTTGCCTGCTACATAATGACAAATTAAGTCCTCTGTATAAGCTAAACAAACTACAACGGAGGACCTCATATATTTAAATTCATTACTTGGTGAAAGACCTCTTATTTATATACTGCAACTCAACTCGTGAGCGGTATTCCTCCTGGGAGGACTTTCTACATGAAACTGGCTCTTATTTAGATGTTACAAACGTCAAGAAACCCGTGACCAGATACCATTGTTCACTGGTTCTATTCACTCGGCCACTGTGAGCCGGAAGAGCCTCTTGTATTTTATAAATTAAGTGTAAATCAAGCCTGATTCTACTAATTTATAACAAGAGTATTGTTAAGTTACTGTAATCACATACCTGGTCAGAGCACCAATACCAGACTGCTGATATTGTCAAGCCAAAGGTAATTCCGGTCCAAGGTAATTCTGGATCGCTCGCGCTTCTTAAAAGATGCTTGTAATTGTCGGGTGGCAAACTGCAAGACTTATTATCTATGCCATACCCTATATAACTATCATTGGGTTGAGCCATAGCAAATTTCTCGAGTAATTCGGTGTAACCTCCGACTCTAATAAAACCTTAAAAACAATTAAAACACAATTAAAACTTAATTATAATTAATTTTATCGCGTTACAATTTGTACTTACTCAGTATCATTAAAACGAAGGCACCTATGAGCATTAACACGGTCTGAGCCGAATCTGTCCACATAACCGCCGTTAAACCTCCTAAAATTATTTAAATATCACATTAATGTCGTGTAGGGATCGTAAGGACGGGTTAAGGTTTATTAAATTTACATACCGGATATGGTAAACAGCGCCGATATTACTAATAAGGTTAGAACTGAACTGTATAACTCCAGCTTAATCGACTGATTGATGAATATGGCTCCAGCGTATAAATCAGCCTAAAATTGTTTTTGAAATATTAAAATTATGAATGAATTATGAATTATTTTCAATTGTTACCCTTAAAACTTACCGAAATTTTAGTAAATACGTATAAGAGAAGAGCGAGAACTGATAAATATATCCTGATTCTTTGGCCTCCGAAACGTTTCCTGAGATATTCTGGCATCGTGTATACCTAGTTGTAAAATTATAATTAAAATTTAAGTTCTATTATCTTCTAAAATTAATTTTAATATATATATATATTTTACTTTCCTAACTGAAAGTATGGCAATCGGTCAAAATGATCCCCCAAATTTTTTATTTTTGGACTTGGGGTACTTTGAAACATCGAGAAATGTAAAAATGTCTAGTTGTTCTTTTGTGTGTGTATTGTGCCTGTATTGTGTTTGTGTTAAGTTTGTACTGTGCATGCATTGTGTTTGGGTTATGGTTGTATTGTGCCTGTATTGTGTTTGTATTATGTTTGTACTGTGCATTGTGTTTGGGTTATGGTTGTATTGTGGTTGTAATGTGGTTGTATTGTGCTTGTGTTGTGCTTGTGTTGTGCATATATTGTGCTTGTATTGTGCTTGTGTTGTGCATATATTGTGCTTGTATTGTGCTTGTGTTGTGCTTGTATTGTGCTTGTATTGTGCATATATTGTGCTTGTATTGTGTTTGTGTTAAGTGTGTTGTGTGTACACAATTTTGTACACCCAATCTGAAGCTTAGTAACTCCTTTGCGTTATGCCGAAAATCTCTGAAAATTTGCTAGGAGGTTTGTGTATTAGAGGCACTGATGTCATTAAATTTTGGAGGTTAAAGGTCGAAAGTGTAAGGAGATAGAAGGGGTGATGTGTTATATCTCGAGTGGAATCGGACTTTTAATGAAGATTTTACTCGTTATTAGCATTTTAAATTCTTTTTTTCTTTTATAAAACTCATCTCCACCTGAAATTTAAGCTTTTTTGCCGTTTTCTAATAATTAATCAAAGTTTTTACAATAAAATCCCATAAGAGACGGGGTTGCACATATTTTTGCCGAGTAAGTTACACCACTCGTTGCCGGATTTTTATTTTAATTAATTGTGTCTCCATCATTGAACTAATTAAAGTTCATTTAACTCTTCTGCTAAATTAAATTTTACACGATTAAAAAGCCTCATATTGATCATTTAAACTTGTAAAACCTTATATTAATCTTAAGTAGCTTATAATGCTTAATTAAGTCGTACGAATTTAATTAGAATTAATATAATTTATTAGAATTATTTATGTTTATTGTTTTTATATCCGTTATACTGCGACAGACTGTACTGTACTGTACTGTACATAATACGAAGTACTCATCATATCCTGTTAAATTTCAAAATGTTTTTCTATTAAAATCGATTTGAATTCACAGAATTTCACCTTCTAAGAATCAATTTTATAGTCCTATACAGAATCAAATTTAACACAGCCTCGTAGAGTAAGGCCCTAAGTTACAAACTAACTCAGGGCCTTACTCTACCAGGCGAAGTTTATATTATGTGTTAGGAGGGAAGGGCCCCTTATACATTACAACTTACGATCACAACAGGTCCAAATCCTGTCTTGGGGGCCTAGTCACCAGAAGACTAGCAATACAAAAGGGTGGTTTATGTGGCACATTTGAACAACTAAATCGCAATATAAGGCTTAAAATATGCCAAGTAAGCCTCTTGTTGCCTTGGATACCGAATTAGACCTACTGAACCTATGCCAAAACTCTTCCTCACGTGGTAGTGCCATTATTGTTTTCTGTTATCTGAATGTTATTAAGTCTTCTTCGCTTCCTCTACTTCATTCTATTGACTTTAGCAATAATATAATAGTATTTTCTCCTATTTCCCTACCATAAATTTGCTATTTCTTTAGAAAATTCTTTAGAACAATTCCACTAATTTGGCCACGCCATTTAAGATCGAGTGCTTCAAGACTTTCTTGGGTTTGTTCTGAAGATAAACTCGTCTCTAGTTCCTTACAATTGATAAAACTTGAAACGATTTCTATAAAATTTGCAATTATTATAGATAACATTTTCTATATTTACAAGGACAAATTAAATAGCGAGATGTAAAGATGAGTAAGCATTGGTTCACTTATCAGATTTACTCATGCCACTTAAGATTAAGTGCTTCAAAGATACCGATCGAATTGTCTATCATGTTTAGTGTTCGGTAAACAATCCAGTAGCTAGATATTTACATTATTTATTTAATTTTCGGCATTTACAGTTCATTTTATTTACTGTTAATCAATAGCGAAGGAAAGTTTACGTTGTACACTCGGATACCAAAACGTGGAGACGTGTGACGCCACTTCATATGTGCCACCTCTTGTTGACTTTGGATACCGAATTATCGAAATTTAAGACTAGACCCCATGATCCTACACCCAAAAATTCACGCAGTAAAGCCAGTAAAACGTTATACTCACTCCGGATGCCATGTAAACAGGAACGAACAGCCATCCCAAAATTAACAGAATGTATAATGCCTAGGATAGAAAATTAAATTATAATTTAAAAAAAACAATAAAAATAATAAATTATTGAAGTATTTTAAAGTATAAATGTGTAAAGTACTTAAAAGATGAGCCGTAATTTATCTAAAAGCGTAAAAGTTAAACCTCTAAACACGGTCAAAATGGCCATTATTAAAAGGTTAATTATTACTTTATATACAATCGAATCTCCAGTAACGGCCACCTCCGAACAACGGCTATTGTTGGGTCTTTCCATCAGTGTCCGTTATTCAGAGGTTTGACTTTTACACTTTTAATTAAAGAGATAAATAAGTACTTACTCATACTTTACTCATTTATACTAAATTAAGATGTAAAATCGAAGTAAATACAGTAAAACCTGTTCAAAACGGAAACCTGCCACGTGAGACCTGTTAATTAACACAGGTTTTACTGTACTTTAAAATACAAATGCAATCTACTCTTACTTTACTTTATATACAGTCGAACATCTAATAACGTCCACCTCCTAACAACGGCCATTTTAGTACTTTATTTTTCATAAACTTTACTTGATTTTAAATCATAAAAGATAAATTACGTATAAAATACTAAAATTATTTAATGGCCGTTGTATCGGAGGTTCGACTATATATTACTATAATCGAAGTAAAATACAAGTACAAGTAAAAGAATTAATTAAATTTAAATTTATAAATGAAGAAGAAAGTAAATAAGAGCTTTTAAAAGTAAAACCTGTGTAAACCGGAATCGAACAGTACCGAATATACAAGTCGACCCCCCTATAACACTGTTGATTTTTCCGTTTTATATGAATTCCATGTTGTACGAGTCACTTAGATTTTACAAATACGTGTGCCGGGCTGTGAACGGCTCACGTATTTGTAAAATCTAAGTGACTCGTACAACATGGAATTCATATAAAACGGAAAAATCAACAGTATTATAGGGGGGTCGACTGGATTATTTCCGTTTTTGCACGTTTCCCCTTTAATCAGGTTCCGTTTTAGACAGGTTTTACTTTAATATATAAAAGCATAGAAGTAAAATTTACGGAAAAATAAACAATTGATAAAACTGAAATAGTTTTAATGCGGTATTTTATTATTATAAAGTGATACTGTTCAAACTTTGGACCCTGTTAGATAAGTAATTCGATTTACCTGTTCAGGTAAATTATATATAATACATAAAACAATATATTTAGTAAAAAATACACTTAAACATAAACTTACATTCAATTCGAACGTTGCAATTCCAATACCGGAACTTGCACCCGAACCAGCTAAACCAATAAAATGTCCACTTCCTATGTTGCTAGCAAATAGGGATGCACCAACCTGGAAGTTAATTAACGTTTATAATTAATTAATTAATTAAATTTAATTAAACTTATCTAAATTATTACTTAGTTAATTATATTCTAATTACTTCTAAATTCTTACGAATTTAAAATTCTGTTAAATAAGCGCGTATTTAAACTTTGAAGTATGGAACCGAGTATTGAAGGAAAACAATGTTAAAAATACATTTTAAATTGTTCTGTTTGAGTAATTTAACGGTTGAAATGAATATAAATCAATTAGAAATGTTTTCTTTTTCTTATTTTTAGTGTGAAGAGTGTGAAGTGGTGTTTTATTAGCGGTTAAAAAAAGGTGTCTTATGATGAAATTTTTAAATCGTTCGTAGAAAAATTTTTCATTAAACTTTTCTGAGAATTGTAAAATGCCTGAATCTAAATAGAAATCATTAACTCTACACGAAGAGAATACTTAAAAAACTAGTTTCCTCGTCTTATATAAAGGGTGGCCCAAAAGTCAGTTTAACCGCTGTAGACTGAAACGTTTCTGTCTGCAGGAATTTAAGTAGAACGAGCATAAAACAGGTGGTCCATAAAGATCGATAAAGTACTTTTTTTGGGGGGTTCATTAAAAATTGTTTAGTTAAACGGGTTGTAAGTGTACACGACAGTTAAGGATGCAAATTTGACACTACCTCACCCAATTTATTGTGTCGTTAGAGTTATTATTAGCAAGAAAAAAAAAAAAGAGAAGAGTCGATAAGGGACAGTCAAAGTTTGGGAAAGCCCTGACTTAACACAGCGAGCTGTTAATCGATTTTTGGGCCACCCTGTATATAAATATATTTAACAGTTTGTGGTGGATTACGAGCATTATAAATCCGGATCTTCGAGGGGGTGCCCTTATAGAAAACCCTTTAAAAACTACTATAATTCAGTTTACAAATTGTAGGGTACTTACAGGTATCCAGTGCATGCTCCTGTTTGCTAGGAAATACCCACTGACGCTGTCTCTTATGCTTTTGTATGACGACTAAAAATTAAAATAATTAAATTATTTAAATAATTTAATTTTAACAATGAATTTATTATTTTAAATTAAAATATAAACACGACTCCACCCCAGAAAATACATGAATCACATTTATAAAATGAATTGTCACGAAGAATAAACACTTTATAAATATTAAATAATTAAAATATTTATAAGAATTTTTGATTATTTAAGCAAAAAAACAAAAAAATATCCATTTTAAAACGCTGAGAGAATTAAAATTAAATTTATTATTTTATAAAAATCAATTCTGGGGTCGAATTGTTTAGAATTCTGTCGACTCGTCCCTATTGAGTAATTTATTTTAACGCACGGAAAAGAACGTTTAATTGTATTTCCTGCTGTAAAAAAATTAATTGAGTTGTGTATTTTTTTTTAATTATTTAATTCTCATTAATAATTTATTATATATTTCATGGGCAGAAATACAATTAAGAGCATCATTAATGGGCTTCTTATACAGTTTGTGAGCCATTTTTTTCTTGTATTTTTACTTAATTATCAGCGAACTGTCAGTTGTATCGACGGGTGACATATCGAAATTAACTAATGCTTAATTATAATTAAACGGGAATGTGCAATTATTTCTTAAAACGGAATTAAAATTATGCAAAGTTTAATTGATAAATTCGAATTTCGCAAATGATAAAGATCGTTACTTAATGCTGCTTTAACGTAATCCGCGCCTTAAACACGTAAATAAACGGGTTAAATTGGCCCAAAAATATGGACCCAAAAGTAAAAAAAAATAAATAAATGTAAAAAACTAAAAGGGAATTACTTAAATAAGTTTAAGTAATCGAATTGACGTCACAAATTAACTTTAAAATTAATAATCTAAGTAATTGTGGGAGATTTTCGTATTGTACTTACTGTTGTAGAACTTATTATAATTAACTTACCCATAATCCTACAGCTAAGACGAGTATAAAGTATATAACAATGACCAAAATGTCTTCCCAGTATAGTTCTGTATTACCTACTTTACCCATTGTTTGTGTTGTGTTCTGTATTAAAAGTTATCACAATTGCAAATAACCATAAACGAGCCGCATCAATGGAGCACTAACGATAAATACCTGCCGGATTTTACAACTACGGCGTTTGTGGGTACTGCGAACTGACGTCACAATACTAGAACAGGTGTTACACGATGTGATGTAACTCAGACGTCATTTCTCGTTTAGAAAACTTTATCCTTTATAATTATAACATCTTTTAACGTTAATACGCGAATAATACCTTATAAGATTACACTAGAAACACTAAAAAAATCATTGAAGTGTGACGTAACAAGCACGGAGGACATTACACCGAGATAACGAAGACACTGGTAGAAGTGTATTAGAGGTAGACCACACTAGAAACAATAAAGAAAATCGATGTTTAGGGGTTCTAGTGTAGTTTATGTGTGACGTAACTAATCTTGTGTAGGGTATAAACAGAGATAACGACACTTATAAAGGTGTATTTCGCACGTCAAGGTAGACTACACTAGAAACACTAAAAAAAATCGATATTTCGGGGTTCTAGTGTAGTTTACGTGTGACGTAACTAGTGTGGAGGGCATTACACCGAGACAACGACACTTATAAAGGTGTATTTCTCACGTTAGGTAGACCACACGCATAAAAACTATTTTAAAAATTAATATTTTATCGTTTTTTTTTACACGATTTTAATTCTAAAACACACCTTCGTGTGCAGAAAACTCTGCTAAGAAAGGAAGGATACAATGGGAAAGTGTACTTGGAACACGTTCTGACGATTCATTCCGTAAAGGAAAGACAAAAATTGTGCAACTTTTAACTCAAACATAAGCAATTTTATTACATAAAAATAATTTTTTCAGTGTTAAAGTTACAAAAAGGAAGTAACACGAGGTTTTCGTCTAGTAATATTTAAAGAAACGAGCGAGAAAAATTCGTCGGGACGAGACATTTTTCGTCTGTTATCAGCTCCTGATAATGATAATAAATTGAAAGTATAACACAAAGATAATTATTTAACACGATTTAAATTAACTTACAGATAATAGGGAGATAATTTAACATTGGAATTTTATAGTTTGAATCATTGTTATTGTTGTTGACACCAGAAAAATTGATGATAATTTGCGGCATGTTCTCGGTATTTACAATACAAGGAAATTACTTTGCATCTTTTAGTTTCGATTTCCAGTTTTGTAACCGGTTAATGTAGGCGTCAGGTCAAAAATTCAAACACATAAAATATAAAAATTTACACGTTTCTCCCTCAGAAAAAAATAAAGCAATGTCCGCAGTTTACAGGTGGCCGTGGTTACAGGTCGGACTGTACTTTTAAAACGTCCTTAATATACGAATATAGGTTATTAAATAACCTATATTTATAGTATCTTGCAATTATATAGTAACCTTGGCACTCTTTTTGTTTAACTTGTAGGGAAAATTCTGCGTTTTTTTTAACGAATAAAACTTAAAAATATAATTAATTTAATTAAAATTTTATTGTATTTTTTATGTTTTTAAAGACTTATTGAAGGTAAAAAAACGCGGATTTTATAGTGATGAGATAACGAGCGCCATTGTAAAAAATGCAATTTTATTGTAATCGATGAAGCGTGCTTCGTGTTCATTATTTTAAAATGTNTCTTCTAAAATTAATTTTAATATATATATATATTTAAATAATATAATTATCTGTCAAAGAATTCTAATTGTTAAACTAGAATTCACATACAGAGCATTGTAATGGATCCTTGAAATTCTGGATGCAGTCGAGCATTCAGCAATGGCAACCTGTCTACAACGGACGCCTCCATTTATCCGGAAACGTTTCTTTGTAAAAAGCCTACACTAAAACCTGTAAATAACGGCAATTATTACGTTCCTACCAGTGGCCGTTGTTTAGAGGTTTGACTGTATCAAGTATTATTTTGACTTCCTGTTAACACTGGGTGTTCAAATATGGTTAATCAAGACCTCTGACCCCAAGCTTTCTATATCCGGTCTCGATTTTCATCTATTTAACTTCATTAACAAAATATTTAACATTTCATTTCATTTTTTCCCTTATTTTTATGAATTTTAGTGATTAAAAAAATCAATTAAATGATAAATTACAATAACTTCGTTAATTTATTAATACAGTAAAACCTCCAATGACGCTCACCTTTAAACGGCGGCCATTTTTTAAGGAAGGTTTCTGTTTAAAATGCACGCAGAATCATCTCCGAACAACTCCTCCACTCCCTGAACGAGAGCCATTTTACGTTCTCGTCAGTGTCCGTTATTCGCAGGTTCGACTAAATTAAAATTAAGTTTCGGTTAATTTACATAGAGTGATAGTAAACATCAATAATTTACAGGAAATAAACACTTTAACTGGATCAAAAGTGTGTCATGACAGCGAGATTTCAATAGGATTTCGCAATTACTTGTGATATACGATTTAAAATTTCGTTTTACAGAGAAAGTCAAAAAATGACCCCAATATTTTTACATTTTTAGACTTAGGACACATTTAAATGTCGAGAAGTGCAAAAAAATTTGGGGTTTTTCCTCTGTATGCATGGTTGTTAGTGTGAGTGTATGAGGGGCACGATTATATTCCCCCATTTTAAAGCTTAATAACTCCTGTGCCTTTTGTCAGAAATTTCTGAAATTTTGCATAGAGGTTTGTATATTCGGGGAATAAATGTTCTTAAATTTTAGTGTTTAAAGGTCGAGAGGTTGAGGAGATAGAGAGATTCGTGTGTAGTATCTCGAACTTAATGACGATTTTACTCGTTATTTTGTTTGTTTTCAGAATGTCAACTTTGCAATATTTTATTAAATTTTGAGTGTATTTTAATTTATTTATGTAAAATATTAAATTAAATGTTATGAGTTTATATAAAGGTCTTTACAACTTGTAGAATGCTTACAATTTATTGGGCATTACGTATGAATTTTGGACATAATTTTAGACCTTTGTTTTTGTAAAACATTTCTATAAATATTTTATTATTCTTTTATAAAAATTCCATTTGTAACCGCTTCCTTCATTTCTCGCTTCATTACGTTAAAATCATTCATAGTATTTTGAAAGAGAAAGTATCTCACAAGCGATGGGATTTCCTGATCGTTTTCTTCACCCACCTTTTCCTGATTACTAAAATTCTCGAATTTCTGTTTATAAAATTACCAGAAAAAAAATTAATGTATTGTACATATAAAGAAAACATACATTTATTTCCGTTAATTACGTCAGTTTTCTTTGTTTAAATCATAATTGGATAGTCCATTGCAATTTAGGATGGCTGAATGCCTTCGCTTTGCATAATTCACGTTCTCAGCTTGTTTCTCTTGTTTTAACATAAATTATGGAAAAATAATACACATAAACAATGAAAGTAAATAATTATAATTAATTTTCTTTGTACAAGTCAAAATTTGATAGTCTTTTGCTATTTAAAATTGCTGAATGCCTTCCCTTTGCAAAATTCACTTTCTTGGCTCGTTTTCCTTTATTTTTGCGTAAATTATAAAAATATATAATGCTATTTTCAAGCGAATAAATGTTAATAATTCATATTTTTTTGCTAAACATAAGTGACATTACTATACATTGATGCAATTTGTAATTACTTCCCAATATGCAATCTCAGAGTTCATTCAGGAAAACCGATTAAAGATATGAAAATATTTAATTTATCCTTTATATACGAAGTGTATGATTATTATAAAGGTATTTAAATAGTAAATACTTAAAGAAATACCTTTTCAACGTTCATTCAAACAAGTTTAACTAGTTATCTACTGAATCAAACCGGTTCAATCACGAAAATATTTTAAATGTTTGATCGTATTTTAACAATAGAAATCTATAAAATTGCATAAAATAATTTTATTTAGTATCAATTTAATAATTAAACTTTAATTACTTAAATGTCTATTAATTAACATTAAATTGAGAAGTGTCACACTCAAAATTAGTGGCAAATGCACGATTTGGCATATATTTATTATATAATCTTCAAGGTCTTCTGTAACTGGTTGGATCTATTTTATCACCCTTATGTAGAGGACAATTTATTATAATTGTTTTTTTTTTATTGTCGGATGATCGAAACCAGATCATTTATCTATTTTTTTCCCCTCTCTTCTTACTCGAGGATTCATTTTCTCACGTTTATCTGAAGTTTGCAAAGGGTACTCCTGAAGATCCGAGAATGGATTTAAATCAGAGAAATTAATTTTAATTTTATATTTGTTATAATTTTCACTGTAATTTCACAACAAATGAGCTAGAATGTAATTTATTTAATATTATACGACCACAAATTTCTAAAACAGCTATGGGATACGATAAAGCAACACGTGGTCGATTTGACAAAGGGAGTGCCCGTAGAGAGGACTTTCTATGGTAAACTAGTCCATATTTAGGTGTAAGATACGTGAAGAAAACCCCGAAAACCCAACTTGGTCAGCTGAACTTGCATCCTAATGGACGTTAGTAGAATCTGGGAGAATAATTCTAGAAAAATTCTAGAATTGCTCGCCCAGATTCGAATTTCTGATTCTTTAACCGCCTCGGCCATAAAGCCTTCTTCTGTACTGAATTGTTTAGTATTATTGCAATACGTTTAAAGTACACAATCTATGAGTTACGTTTTAGAAAATTAACAAGGTATAAGGCCTGTAATAAAAGTCAATATGCCAAAATTTTTCCCTTTTAGCTTCAACAAAACGGCCGGATTTTTAAGCTAGACAAACTATAACTTAGGGCCTCATGCACGTGAAATTAGCCTAGAAGCGAGAATACAGGCCTACTCATTTAAGTTTATATATAAGAGGCCCTTCTCAACCTATTGGTGGAACAAGAGGGCCGGTGAGAAGTGTAAATTGGGCCCTTTTTAACAGCATTTCCATTAAATTAAAGTGTACTTTCTCCATTTAATTATTTTTGTATAATTGTTCTTCTTTCTGTTAATTAAAATGCTGCTATTTAGTAGTCCAGTAGATAAAAATTCTACAGTGTTTTAAGTTTTTATTATTAAATGCCAATAAACTTTGTGTCAATTTGGATTTTTTACGTGGCACTCGGTGGATGAATAAATAAATATATACAAA